TTCCCCGTTGGGGACGGGGATGGGGATGTGATCATAATCCCCGGCGGGGATGGGGATGGGGACGGGGACACATACGGGGGATCGGGGACGGGGACGGGTATTGAGGTCCCCGCCCCATCCCCGCCCCATTGCCATCCCTACGTACTTATTTATTTGAGTCATGTTAGGAGTAGCCCATGCGGTTTCGCAATCATATTTAAAATGAAATCATTGTGGCATGATATGAGGCACCAATTACCCTTGCCAATGATATTTTGACGAAATGATTACAATTAATACTACTAGAAACTAAGTATCAGCGACATAAATTAGCGATGGAAAAAATCTCTCGTTGATCAACGAGAAAATTGGCAAAAATCAATTCCCTCGCTGATCAACGAGGGATCAGGGAAGGAAATGGCCAAAAACCAATTCCCTTGCTGAACCCTCGCAGATCAGCAACAGAATGGCCAAAAACCAGTTTCCTAGTAGATCAATGAGAGATCAGCGAGGGAAGTGGCCAAAAACCATTTCCCTCACTGATCCCTAGCAGATCACTGATGGATCAGCGAGAAAAATGACCAAAAAGCAATTCCCTCCCTGATCCCTCAACTGGGGATCAACGAGAGAACGACCAAAAACTAATTCCCTCGCTGATTAATTATTAATGATTTATTAATAAATATTTGTTATTTATTAATATTTGGTTTTTGATAAATATAATTAATAATTTAATTATTTATTAACTATTAATTATTAATTAATTATTGGGTATATGTACATATAACATGTACATAAATGGTATAGAGCTTAATGGGCCTTATTAGGTTTTATTCGATTTAGGGGTTGTTCGGTTCGTTTTCTGTTAAGACCTGTATGGATATAGTTGTCTGTATTGATATAGATGTCTGTATATTAACAGATAAGTTGTTGTTCGGTTGTTGTGCTGAATAAACAGTCTGAATGTCAAAAATGACTATTTTACCCCCAGTCTTTATTTTTGTCTAAATAAAACAACAGTTTGATAAAAATGTTGAACAAATGACTTATAATTACAAAAAAAATACCAATTTACAAGTTTTTTTTAAAATAAAACAACTTGATTAACATAATTATATGAGTTAAATGTTATAATCAAAACAACATTAATAAGTCCTTATAATAAAAACAAGCCAATAACATAGTTTGGATACAATTTAAAATATCAAACATTTGAAACTAGTCCATTTGCAATTTGATCACGCAAAGTAGCCATATAATTTGTACTATTAGCACCCCATTGTGATCCATCTAGTTTCGTTTCTCCACCTCCAACATGTTCTTCTTCATTGGTGAAAATGGTGCCTTCGTTGTACTCCATGAAAAGTTGATCTTGAATATTACATTTTCTTATAAAGTTGTGTATCGCGAAGCAAGCAATGACCACATTTCTTTGTTTTGTAAATGGAAAAGAAGCCAATTGCTTCAAGATTGGGAATCTAGCTTTTAAGACACCGTAAGCACGCTCAATGACATTTCGAAGTTGTGCATGCGCATGATTGAATTTTTCTTCTTTAGTTAAAACACGTCTGCATCGATAATCTGCTAACCAATACCTCGTGTTACGATACGGAGCTAAAAATCCATGAGCGTTGGAATATGCAGCATCACAAATATAATATTTATCTGCATGCAACAATTGATTAGGCAAACATGCAAACATTATTTCAAATTAAACATGTTCAATGTAAGTGAAATCATGTATACCTTCAGGTGGAAAAGGAAAACCAGAATTTGGGTTAAATGCAACTTCGGTTAGCACTCTAGAATCATGTGCAATGCTTTCCCATCCGGCCCAAACAAATGTGAACATCATATTGAAATCACAAATTGCTAGAACATTTTGGTAGCATCGACCACCTCCTCTTCCTCTATATGCAGTTTGATGACTAGCAGGCACGACTGCATGTATGAGTGTCCCGTCTAGTGCACCAAATGCACCATTCATTGATGAAAAATGTTAAAGATTTGTACCTAACTATAAAAGCATAGCTTACCGGAAATATTTCTCTCAAACGACTTTGCCGATTTGACATAATCTCCGTGTTTGTTTCAGACGCTGCTGGACAGACAATTTCTCTCACAAACTTCATCATCCCCCGTAGAACTTCATGAAAACAACTATGGACGGTGTCGATGGAATGTTGAAATCTTCGTTTGATCACTCTATAACGTTCGTTATGTCCGATCATTGTAAAAAACATAGCTACTTTCTCCTCGACATTTACAATTCTACCATCTTTTGTCCAACCCCTTTGTTTAAAGTGATTGCATAGTAATACATATGCTTCACGAGGCATACGCATCAACTCCTGACATTGCAAACTAGATCCATATAGCAACTCTTGTGTGTATGCATGTCCACTCATGGCTGAAGTGTTATCTCGTACCCTCTCGATTCTTGTTGAAGAATTCATTCTCCGTCTTAAACCAAAATAATAGAGTTACGAATAAATGTTCTTCCTTGTAAGTCAACATATCTAAAATTGCAAACAATAATCGTAAATCAACTTGTAAACATCATTTATATATATAAAATTTCAATAATAATCGTAAAACAACTTGCAAACACCAACCAAATATCAGAAAATCCAACTTGATAACATAAAACCTAATATCATTAAACCAACCATTCCAAATACATCAACAGCGAAAAAGAGTCATAAGTATCGACCAAAAAAAGCCATTGGAAATGTATCATAAGCATCAACAAAAAAACAAGCATTATCCTAAACATCAATGACCAAATCAACCGCAACCACCTACTTGTAGCCTTGTTTATCTCTAACTGTCTTAACCTAATCAACCGCAAATTCGGGCGGTATCATCAACCATGGCTCCTAGCTATTCTCCTTGTCACTAAGAAGAGCCATTGCAATACGATACAAAGGACCATCTTTTGGCCAAGTTCATTGAGTTTTTGAAGACAAACCATGTAAGAAGGAGGCTCAACACCATCGGGGCTCCCATGTTTTACGGCCAAAGCTTTTAAAACTGACAAAATCTGCTCATCTATGTCAAATTGGCTAACTTTTCTCTTGTTGGTTCTCACTTGAGCACGAGCTGAAGATACGGGAGTTGAGGAGGTGGGTTAGGAATTGGAGATCCCCACTTCATCATTGTTGGAAACAAAGAAAGGCTCGACAGAAGGCTCGGGGTCATTTGATTAGTTGTCAAACAATTGCATACACAACTCGGGGAATGGAAGATTAGTTGTCCTTAAAGATTCAACATATTTATTTGACAGTGTTAAAAGAAATAATTATAAGTAACTAATAAAATTTTAAATAGAAGAAAAAAAAGTATAACAAGATAGTGACCTGAATCTCGAGTTCCCATTGCTCGGGTGTCAAATTAAATGAGTTTTTTGATGGATCATCACGTTCCCTGTTTTACTTTTAAGTTTCAACCACGCCTCATATTTTCCCTTTAAATAGTCATAATCGTTACGCATTTGCTTTCTATCTACATGAAAGTTGTGAATCTCTTTCAGATGATCAGAAACTTTCTTCCAGGACAATGATTTTAGACTTCCACCTTCTTTTCCGTTCAAAGCTATCTAAAAAATGCAACTTTCTAGAACCGTTTTTACAACAATGTTTTTCCAACTTATTCTAGTCCTTTTTGGCGGTTGTGAATCGTCTGTTTGTTCCATACCTAATCGGTTAAAAATCAACAAGTTGGAAACACATAATCGGCAAAGGACTAGAATAAGTGAGCTCAAACATTATAATTAATGCATCTAATAAAAGGGCCTTTAAACAATTATATATCTATATATATATAAATATAATTGACGTAACTTAAAACAGTTTAAAGGGGGGGTAAGTCCAAAATATAACGTGGTGAGGCCAAAACATCTGAAGATGACGGGGGAGACCCGATTTCCGTTATTTATGATGGAACACAAAGTAAGTCATAGATCAACTTTATAGAGCATCACTTACAGGTATAAAACCATTGACATCAACCTAAACCAGTCATGTAGTCGATCGTGATCTTAAGCTCATTATCTCAGAAATTACATAATAATCACAATGCCTATTTCCGAGTGGAAGTGAGAAGATGATTTGGAGATTACATAATAATCACAATGTCTACTACAAACTTACACCATCGTTCTCACGTACGAAATAAAACAACATCCAAGCCTATAATCCCATTACATCCTAGTGATATGCTTAATTACGTTATCTTAAGCATATGAACCTCTATTCCTCACTAAGGTTATGCATAACCCCTTTAATCAAATGAAATATTCCCATTTGCTAACAAAGAACTTCAAATGTAGAGCATGAGGGTGTTTGAGTCTTATGGCCAACGATACTTTGAAATGAGTATTTTACCGAATGATTAAAACCATTTTCTCCAACCTCATCTTTTCATTATAAACAAGCTCTCTAAGTTCACTCTTTTTGACCTAAAAATCTCCATTACAAACAAACAAGCAATTACGTAAAATTAAGGTATAAGGCAGGTAATGTACATCATTTCAATTAGTAAAAGTTTTCGTGAAAGGAATAGGTTGAACTCACTTCATAGGATTTAAGAGAAATCCTAAGTCCCGAACTAAATGGTAGACGGAAGGGAACTCAGAAGCAGCAGGATTTCTCTCCTAATTGGTAAGGCAACAACAACAATAGAACCCGAAGGAAATGGAGGGTCAGTCGAGGTGAAGAGCAGCACAACAGTGTCTGCTGTTTGGCAAAGGGAACGAAAGAACAAGGCAGCAGTGATTGTTGCTTGCTGCTGCTATTTGATGAAGAAAAACAACCTTGTTGTTTGCTGTTTTGCGTAATCACAGCAACGGGTGCTGTTCGGACAAGGAGACGAAGGAACAACTCGACAGGGCTGTTGTTCAGCGATGCAGACTACGAGACAGCATTACAGACGGCTGTTTTTGGGCAAAACACACGATGAACAGCACAGTCAAGCGGCTGTTCGGCGAAGCAGATGAAGAAACATCGCGACAGAGTTGCAACTTTGCTGTCTGCTATTAACAAATCACGGCGACACGGCAGCGTCCACTGCTCAGGCAAGAAAACGAAGCAAACAACACAACAGAGACTGTTGTTTGCTGTCTAATGGTGGTTGCGTGAGATGGCACGACGGCCTGCCGTCTGATGGATCCAAGGTGCAGGAACGGCTGGACAAATAGGCGGACGTGGGTTGGGGTACGGTGCAGATGTGCGTGGACCAGAGGCACTGTGCAGACCTGGCCGGCAGTAAGGTCTCACCAATGACCATAGCCTCTTCCCGAGAGTTTTCTTAACCGGGTGAAACCACAGCTCCTCCCCCTTYTCTCCCTCTCAACCAGCAGCTACTGATGCTTGCTTCACCTGACCGATTTCTCTTCCAAGAAAGAAGGGTTCATCTCCTCTCACTATTGCTCTTCCCTTCCCCTTCCTTTACTTTTCTCCCTTTTCTTCCCAATCTATGAAATAGTAGGTAAAACCCCAAAAATAAGAGAAGGAACCTCCTTTTTTTTTTTAAGGTAAAGGGGGTCTATGGGTAGGATAAGAAGGCAGTAGCTACCCCCCCTCTTGACTTTCTTACCCCACTACATCTAACATTATCTTCCCAATGAATATATATATATATATATATATATATATTACTAAAGAAACACAGACCTCACCGGCGAGACGGAAATCCTGGCGTGAACGGAGTAGAGAATATGGAAAAAAATTTAGGTGTTACAATCATCCCCACCTTGGATTAAATTTCGTCCTCGAAATTTTAGTTCACGCGAATAGGTGAGAGTAACGCCTCTTCAAGTCCTCTTTCGCTTCCCATGTCACGTTTGACCCTCAATGATGCTTCCATTTTACTTTAACCATGACCACTTCCTTGTGTCTCAATACCTTGGTCCTACTCTCCAAGATGGCTTCTGGTTCTTCCACACATCGGTTGTTCTCATCCACACAAATTTCTGAAAGTGGTATCACACTAGCTTCTTCCGTCAAACACTTATGAAGGTAAAACACGTGAAATGTGTTGTGAATTCCGGAAATTTCAGGAGGTAGTTCTAATTTATAAGATTGAAGCCCCACCTTAGCCAAGACTTTAAACGGCCCAAGGAAACGGGGGCTGAGTTTTCCACGCTTACCAAAACGGATAATGCCCTTCCAGAGAGATACTTTTAGCATAACACGATCGCCCACTTGAAATTCTATAGGTCGGCTCCTCTTATCTATGTAGCTCTTTTGTCGATCCTGAGCCGCCTTTAAGCGCTCTCGTATACACTTCACTTTTTTGGCCGTTTCCTGCACGATCTCGGGACCAGCGTACTGTTTGTCACCCGCCTCAAGCCAACATACAAGATTCCTATATTTTCATCCATACAATGCTTCGAAGGGTGCCATGCCGATACTGGAATGATAACTATTGTTGTAGGCGAACTCCACCAGGGGTAGGTGAGAATCCCAATTCCTGCCAAAGTCGATAATGCACGATCTAAGCATGTCTTCGAGGGTTTGAATGGTCCGCTCACTCTGAGCATCGGTTTGAGGATGGTAAGCTGTACTCAACTTCACCCTTGTGTCCAATTCTTTCTGTAAGCCGCCCCAGAAATGAGAGGTGAATCGGCTATCCCGATCTGACACTATTGACAATGATATACCATGCCTTGAAATTACTTCATCGATGTATAACCTGGCAAGTTTGTCTATTGTCAACGATTCTCGCATCGCTAGGAAGTGAGCACTCTTTGTCAGTCAATCAACCACTACCCATATCGTGTCATGACCTCTGAGAGTCTTCGGCAGTTTGGTCACGAAGTCCATAGTAATATGCTCCCACTTCCATTCGGAATCTCCAAGGATTGAAGACTACCATAAGGTCGTTGGTGCTCCGCCTTCACTTGCAAACAAGTCACACACCTCTCTATGTAGCGAGCCACATCCAACTTCATCACAGGCCACCAATATGTCAATTTCAAGTCCCGAT